CGATCTACTGCTAACGCATTAAAGGAACGTAAAAGGTTGTAATTTTTCTCTCGATCGTGCATTTATTTTAAGCCATTTTAAGCACGATTCCTCTCTCGGAACATAAAATATTAATATACTTGTTATTAGCTCGTTGCTTGGTTTAACTCACTCTTCCGAATTCCACTCTAGGATATGGAAAATTTATTCTCTGGATAGAAACACAACACCACACAAGATTATCTCAGTTTTATTAAAATATAAAAACGAGGGGACAAAAGAAACAAACTCTGCTATAACTGTAACCGGAAATGAACGCCATAGACACCATACGCCATGCCCTCCAGCGGATACATTTCCAACAATCGTGATTCCAAATTAAAAATTCTATAAATGGTGTTTTTAATTATATTTAAGTTGGTCTAAATATCGTTCAAATTAAAAGAACGATAAATAAAGCTTCAGAATAGAGAGAAGCAATGCATTTCGTTTATACGAGAGCTAGAGAAATGTAATAAATATAGAATAAAAGGAAAGTAGATATAATTTGTGATTGTATATAGTTGAGTATCAATTTGATTCGTTTGCTACATTTTAACGATAAGTTTCGATTACTTTTTACATTTCAGAGACACGTGGCAATAGCAAAGCTTATGCAGCAACGTATTATGTATCAGCAAAAGTATACACTTATCCAGATTAGAAATAAAATGGGATCACATGTTTTAAACACGTGTCTGAGCTATTTAACCATTGTAATTATGTAATGAGAGGTAATTGTTAATGCACGGACTAATGATCAACTCCATTACTATCGTGGAAAGGCAATTTACAAATAAAAATACTTGGAAATAGTATTGACAATTTATTATTTATTTCAGGTCATTATAAAATTACTTCTGGATGATTTTTATCGAGCACCTGTGACCTACGAACAATATACAATAAAAGGAGCTATCAAGATTGTATTATTTATTTAATAGAGTTAGAAATGTGTAAAATATTCCTTATAAAACGAGTTTGTTAAGATAATAGAATTTTAAAAGTGTAAAACATCCCTTATGTTTTTATTAATAAACAATTTAAAGACCATTATTTATTCTACATGCCTTTTATTTACATTCTCTGCCTTTACTCGCATTTTTTCGTGTAAAACGTGTTAAAAGTGTAAAACATTCCTTATGTTTTTATTAATAAACAATTTAAAGGCCATTATTTATTCTACATGCTTTTTATTTACATTCTCTGCCTTTACTCGCATTTTCTCATGTAATTAATTAGTTATAAACGATTAATAAAAATATACCATATAATAACTAATATTGGGCAAAAAAGTGACAAACTACGGTATCGCCATCTAATATCAGAAATTCGAACTCAAAAAATCGTGCCAGGATCACAGAATGTTGGAGGAGGTATCGCACTTTGGGTGCCATCTAGTGGTGAAAATAGTGTACCATTGCTCGACAAGTTTCAATGTTCCGCAACTAGATGGCGCCACAATAGAGGCCCCCCACCATTACAATAAATCGCGGCTGTCAATGAACTACGACTCGATAATTTACTAATTACTCTTTTCCTGGGGTTCATTCATTAACTTTTAGGGTTTAATAATATAGCTGAGACCCTTGGCAACATTCAAGGATACTTTTTATAGCCATGGCATGCGTCATTAAATAGTTATTAATCAATACCGGGAAGCCGGCACACGGTTTCGAACTTTTTAACGTGACACCTAAGGGATCTATCGCTAATAATTAATTAATTAGAGCAAGGAGCGAGGTAAAACTGGTCCTTGAATGTAGCCAGGGATGTCTACTAGGATCCCTAATAGCCAAAATATGCGTGTTACTGTTGAAAAATTGATAATTCATCGATTAAAGGAGACGGTGACACCGCCGTAAATGTTCCGACTTCCGGAATTTGTTAATAACTATTTAATAACGCATGGCATGGTTCTAAAAACTATCCTTGAATCTAGCCAAGGGTCTATACTACATTCTTCAATTCTAAAAGTTCATAGTTTATTCCTGGAAAGCGAGTAATTAATGAATAATCAAGGCTATGTATATCAGGTGGTGGAGGGGTGGGGGTAACTGTACTTCGGATACCTCCACTATCATTCTGTAATCCTGGGACGATTTTTTGACTTCGAAACACTGATATTAGATGGCGATACTGTCGTTTGTCACTTTTTTGCCGAAATATAGTGTCGCCATCTAACATCAGAGTTTCGAACCACTCCTCCTATACCTGATACACATAGCCTTCGATTATTCATTAATAACTCTCCTTCTAGCAATAAATTATGAACTTTTACAATTGAAGAATGTAGTATAGACCCCTGGCAACCTTCAAGGATACTTTTTATAGCCACGCCAAGCGTTATTAAATAGTTATTAACAAATATCGGAAGCCGGAACATTTACGGCTCTATCACCGTCCCCTTTAATCGATGAATTATCAACTTTTCAACAATGACACGCATATTTTGGCTATTAGGGAACCTAGAGGACATCCCTGGCCACATTCGAGGACCAGTTTTACCTCGCTCCACGCTCTAATTAATTAGGTATTAGCGATAGATCCCTTAGGTGACGCGTTAAAAAGTTCGAAACCGTGTGCCGGCTTCCCGGTATTGATTAATAACTATTTAATAACGCATGCCACGGCTGGAATAGCTATCCTTGAATGTTGCCAAGGGTCTCAGCTATATTATTAAACCCTAAAAGTTCATGAATGAACCCCAGGAAAAGAGTAATTAGTTAATTAACGAGTCGTAGTTCATTGACAGCCGCGATTTATTGCATGGTGGGGGGTTGCTATTGTGGTGCCATCTAGTGGAGAACATTTGAACTTGTCGAGCAATGGTTTGCTCTTTTTGCAACTAGATGGCATTCAAAGCGGGGGTAGTAGGAGTGGGGGTAGCTGTACTCCGGATACCTCCTCCTACATTCTGTGATCCTGGGACGATTTTTTGAGTTCGATTTTCTGATATTAGATGGCGATACCGTAGTTTGTCACTTTTTTGCCCAATATTAGAAAAAAATAAGCGCAATATTAAAATAACTATTGGCTTCCAGTAATTGTTTATAACTCAATAATTATATGAAAATACGTTTAGAATTTGTAAAAAATTAAGGAATGAATGGGGAAGATTGTGGAGAATATAAATAAAACGTTCGGGGGACATGCATTTATTATAATTATGATTTATTATTAATATAAACATAAGAAATAGTTTAAACATTTCTAAATACAGAAATAAACACTTCTTTTAAAGTAAATACATAAACCCTGATATGTATAAACTTCTGAGCAACATTAATGTTAATGGGAACACAGTAAAATAATAATTAGACTGTTCAAGTATTGAATGTTTTTATTTTTTACACTATAATTTGGACAATTGATGATAACTTGACGTTTCCGTGGTGTTTAGAGTGAACAAAAAAACATGGAAAATCGAGTAATTAATGTGTGAAATAACACGAATGTATCAGAATTACTTTTCATGTTTTAAAACGTAATTATTTTAAAAAGCGCAATACATACTTTGGTTCTTATTACAGTAGCTGTAACTGTGTGTAAGTGTTTTACACATTCTTTACAAATATGCTAAAAGTAATAAAAGGATACGTATTGTTCGTTACATACATAATTTAATTTAAAAAAAAAATCTAGACACGTTAATATCCAAATTTAAGATCTTCAGAACTTTTAAACGACGCATAATTTATTGTCGTGTACCCTAACAGCTGGGAAACAGAACAGTTTGCAGCAGAATACAACAAATATAAATATTTTTAACATGTTCGAAAAATTTCACAATTTACATGACTTCATGGCATTTGAATGATTCATTCTTTTAGATTTTTATTCGTTGTGAGCAGTACTAGGTGCTTTTCATTGTATACATTTCTAACAGAAAATAGCAAAAGGGTATTCGAAAACAAAAAACACTTTATCAAAGAAATTATTTATTTCACATATTCTACTCCGAGTTACTTTTTCTATGTGAAACTTTTCCTGGGCTTGTATTCCATCAACATTTAGATACAATTAAAAATAGTGCTTTTTAAAGAAAAGAAAACACTGCTCAGAAAATATGCTTCTAATGTTTATAACGAATGCTGTAGTTCTATTAAGAAAAAAACGAATTTCTCTTTGTTATACCATAATAAATAATATTTTATTTGCAAACATATGTGTTTTAAATATTTACTTGCAATTACTTATGTCTAAAATCAAACATTAAATATTACAATAAAATTAATAACAAAAAAATATAATAACCATTCACTAGTAAAAACGCTAAATGTTTTTATTCTTTATTTATATGAAATAGAACGTGGAAAAAAGATGTTGCCTTCGACAATACATTCTTATCTTTATCAGTCCTCTAATCCACCGATGAGTATATAATTCACAACCAGTCGATATTAATCTTAAAATCTTCTTTTCCTATTCTTAAGAAAACTATTTCTCTTACGAACGGAAAACAAAAATTCTAAAGAATACACTAAAATTGGAATTACATTAAGATTCTCAAGAAAAATATTTCTCTTAAGAAAATGAAATGAAAAATTCTAAGCAACTTTTTATCCGAAATTAAGACTATTAATTTCAGTAAAAAGTTATTTCCCTAAAGTATGAAAAGATTAAATTTCCCAATGACATATTTTTTTAAAAAATATAATATGAAGTATCTTGGGAAGATTTATTTAAAAAGAAAATAAAAAAAAAGAAAACTCGATATTTTTGAAATCGTTACGTTACTTATCGATTACTTTAATAAATAAAGAATTAAAAAATAATTAAGCAAGTAATACTTTTAAGTTAATTTTTTCCTTATTATCACTAAAGAATTAAACAATTAATACTTTAAGTTCATCGTCTTTATTTTTTACTTGAGAATAAAAAAACGTATATTCTTAAGGAAAGTATTTTTCTCAAGAAAAAGAAGCATACAATTTTTGAGAAATCTATTTCTAAAAATCGAATAAAGGTAGAACTGCAAATATTCGACGATGCCAAGCAAAGATGTCTACGGAAACTAAAGGGAGAAATTAATTGAAAATTTGTATCTCTAAAAAATTATTTTTCTTAAGTATAGTAAAAATTAAGATTGTTAAAAAAAAAAAAAATCTCAGGAACAAACACACTGGATAAGGAATCGTAGTTTTCTCAAAACTAAGTAGAAGCCAGGCTTGTAAATGAAAAGAATGAAAAAATAAGTAGACGTCTATGGACGCGTTACCAAAGGAAATCAGTCGTACAAACTTCAAAGAAGATAGCTGCTACGAAGCACGACAAATCAAACTTTGTATTAACAATAGTTCTCTGTGTTTAAGAGATGGCATTGGAGACACGCTGGTCAGTTTCATGCTTTTTTCGACGTTTCTCGAAGTATCTCCTCCTGGCACCGAGTATCATGTGTTCTTTACGACGTTGGAGGATCAGCTCTCTCTCGGTCGAGGATTTCGAAAATCGTCCTCCTAAACTGGAAGGTTCCTCGCCGCTGAAATTTATCGATATGAACTTTTATAAAACATCTACACAGTATGTTAATTCATAGACAAATTTTTTAAAGCTCTACGAACGATTACTTCGTGTCTTTGGCAAAGTAAAGTAGCACAAGTATCTACGTAATAAAGAAACAAAATTACCTGTCAGCAATAGGAATGTCAAACCTTGGGTCGGAGGGTGGCGGCGTTGAAACGGTGTTTAAGGAGACACTGATCTCAGTAGTGTTCGTATGGATCTGAGAGACGGATTCCGAATGCGGTTCTTCGATTAAATGATGAGGCGGTATCAGCACTCCATCAAGAATGTTCTCAACGGTCCATTCAACCGATCTCGTTACTCTGAGATCTTCTACAATCAGGTTGCGAGGAAAATGCGGGAACAGCTGCTGCACCTGTTTTAATAATACGTCGATAACTTTGAAAATTCCTAGACAAATGGCAACTCAAAGCAGATCTCACCTGTCTGATCATAGCGTCCATTTGGGAGTTGTTGTGCGCGATGGTAGAAATATTTCCACGTAATCTGTTGTGAGAAACTTCGACGGAGAAGCTCGGTAACCAAGAGACGTATCTCGAGCCATCGAAATGGAAGAAATGATTTTCGTTTCGTCTGGCTGGTGTCTGTGGTTCCGTCGATAGTTCTTGCGTGTTCTCGCGATGATTCGGTTGCATGTTCAAAGCAAGTCTACAGGTAGGGCAAGACGTGTCTTGCTCCAGCCAGGATTGTAAACAAGAATTATGAAAGAGATGACTACACGGTAGTTTTCTAGCGGTTTCCATTTTCTCCCAACAAATAGCGCAATTGTCCGAGTTCTCTGCCAGTTCCTCTTGCGTTGCCATTGGATAACTGAAATAAATATACAAATGGATTATTCAAATCTACTAAGATACTGTCTATTAAGCAAATTTATAAGGTATGCTCACTTCTGTTCCATATGATTCAAGACAGCAAGATAGTTTCTGTGCTTTGTAATTTTCCGCTGTATTTCGTAGAAAAGGTACCTAAGCTGCATGCATATTACAAGGGAGGCCATACTCAAAAAGATGTTGCTCCAAAGTAGCATGTGGACATGATGGAGGAAGTTTATAGCCAATATTATTAGCTCTGCCAATAGATCTGTATAATACGTTAAAAGACCTCTCTTGTCCCAAGAACGTTGGAAAGGGGTTCCAGCTCCTCGCGTATCATACAGGTGAATAATGTAACGCACCATTACGCGAATTGTTCTCACACCTAATAGAATGCACTGTTAACAAGGAAATTAAAACATCATTGTTACATCTTTCTCCTGTACTTTTAAACTTTCTTAAATACTAATTCTATGGTTAAATATTTTGTAGCGTTGGATCACCCTGAAAGTTTCTGCAGTTTTTGCTACGCCTGACTTTAATGCCAGATACCTGAAGTTATATACAAATATGATTGAATCAATTAATGGAATTGATATATGAAATTGGTGTTACCTCTGCTGCTGTGAAGACAAACGTGTTGAACGAAACAAAGAAGAAAGCTGCGGCTGTCCATAGTAGCAGCATGAAAGAAGATAACGCTAGAATCGCAGCGAGAAGTCCAAGAAGTTTTGCATGACTCCAGCCTGGTGTAGTTGGTGAAAAGGATAACTAAAGAACGATAACAAAGCCATTATTAGTTAAAACTATATAGCAATTTTATTAATAAAAAGGTCTCTTGGACCAGGATAGGACTCTTATTTCTAAACTCTAAACATCTCTTTTATTTAAAGAGAAATATTCATGGGATTCGACGAGTCAACGAATATTAAAAGAATCTATTTTTTTCTTGGGATATTTAGAAGGTGCAGCAGGAGTATGATTTTAGAATACATTTTTATTAATCGTATATTTTCTATCAATTGCGTTCCGTTTTTCGTAGATCTGTAAGGCATTCTAAATAAAGTGATACAAACAATATTTCTAGTAATAAATGTTCGTACATAAAATATTATGTTCGGTATTGTATGAAGCAAACCAAGGAAAACTAATGTCGTGTAACGAAGAGTAGTATAACCTAGTTATCTCTATTCGATTATACTAACGGGATTCACACGAATTCATTGCATAACGAAGTCACGAGATTCTGTATTTTTGTGTTACAGAATTCGTCATCCAATGAAGACGATTTACTTATTGTTTACGTATTTCCCTGACAATACTTCCTTTCGTCATTTCTGACGAATTTTTGAAGTTCGAAATAAAAGTTAACTAAAATTTTGTTATGCTTAAAGTCTTGTGCATTCGTATGTTCAGCTTGTGACCATCTGCGTTGTTTATGATAGGAAAAATATTACGATCGAATAAGAATTCTTTCTCAAGGTCATTTTTCCCCCGATAAGCTTGAATCGTATAGAAAGAAATAATGAAATTTTCTCGTGTATCCTCGTACCGCTAATCTTTGGAGATAATACTGTGAATAAAAATTTTCACATTAAAGCCTTTCGTTTGCACGAAATTGCATCACGATGGTTCTATTGGTATTTCGTTGCAGTGCCAACTGTTCGAACTATACCCATTTGCGAACGTAGAAAACTTTGCTAAACAAATGAGCAACATATTGATTCTAGACACATATCACGCGTAAATAAAAGATAACCGGTAGTGCGATGCACGAGATAAAACAATGCAACTGTTCCCTAAGAAACGTATTCTAACCCAGACTCGTTCGTCTCTAAAATCAGTCAGCTTTGTGACGTGTTCGATCTATGGATCGAAATATTTGCACTCGGTTCATTTGGAAAAGATATTTTGGCGGGTATTATTGCGTACGTTCTATCGAAGTTTCAACGTTGTATCCAAAACTTTCTCATGTTTTTATCGATTTCTTAATTAATATGTCATAAGTCGTACAACATTTCCCGCCACTTTCTCCCGCCTTTTTCGTAGCGAAAGTATCAAAACACGTTAACCTCGTCGAAGTTAAATTTCCTACGTCACTGTTTCAAATGCAGCTTTCCGATAGTTGTGTATGTTATAGAAGTATAGCAATGTCGCTTACGTATTGGAATCGATCCTTGCAGAGTTGACTGAGTAGACTTAGGAAGCCAAGCGCGGTGAACCATGCCCACCAAAGGACAACTTCGTCCATGTACTGAACATTCAGCACACCAAATAGAAAGATGAATTTGTGAAACACAAAGTTCCAAAACTTGTCCTTCAGATGTTGCCTCTCCGATGCTCGAAGTTCACCAAACACGAGCTTCTGGATCGATTTGCCCAGAAGGATTAATACGCAATACGCCATATTGATCAGAGTCTGAAAACAACAATAAAATTCAACTAACAATGCTGTTCATTCTTCAACGAATTTTTACTAAAATAGGGCTCTCTCAACACATTCGCTTCAGACATACGAAATAGGGTTGATGTACTTACTATTAAGATTAAAATGCGTGTAAATAAATTTGTACAATTAAATAAAAATATTATTACGAAATATGTAAAATAACCCCTGGGAAAAAATTTAATGGGGGATTCTAGAGGGCAAAATAAGACGAAAATCAAGAATATCAATTTATTGATGGAGGCTTCGTTAAAAAGTTATTAACAATTAAATTCAAAAAATTCAAATCGATCTAAAAAAAATTATTTTCAGTTGTGGGGGTCAATTACAAACATTTTTGGTCAATAGACATACCCTCGAAATCCTACCCGCTTTCTAGAAAAAAATTTGAGAAGGTGTGAAATTTTTCGGCAAAAAAAAATTTTCAAATCGTTCTAAAAAAATTATTTTCACTTGCAGGGGTCCATTACAATCATTTTTGGTCAATAGACATATCCTCGATATCTTAGCCAGTTTCGAGAAAAAAATTCGAGAAGGTGTGAAATTTTTCGGCAAAAGAAATTTTCAAATCGTTCTGAAAAAATTATTTCCAGTTGCGGGGGTCAATTACAAACATTTTTGGTCATTAGACATACCCCCGAAATCCTACGCACTTTTGAGAAAAAAATTCCTAATCGAAAATGTAACTTATGGCCAGAAATGTTGCCCGAAAATTTCATGCGAATCTTTAAAATGTCATAACTTCTGAACGGATTGAAGGATTTTAATTTTCAAAAATGCAAACGACGCGTATTTTGCTATAGAATATGTAGAAATCGCAAAAATATTCAAAAAGTTGATCCTTAACCCCGTAAAGTTAGAAAAACCCCATAAAAACGGTCCAATTTTCAAACAGCCATAATTCCTACAATAGTGAAAATATTTCAATGAAAGTTTTTTTCTGAAGCAGAGCTCATGGGTACTTACAAAAAAGTATTAGACAACTTTTCTGTAGGACGTCAAACCAAATGATTAAAAATGAAAAACATATTTTTAAGAAAAATCGACGGGGGGTGCCTCAATTTTTCGACGAAAAAAAAATTTTCAAATCGTTCTGAAAAAATTATTTTCATTTTCAGGGGGCAATTACAACCATTTTTTGTCAATAGACATACCTTCGAAATTCTACGCACTTTCGAGAAAAAAATTCGTTACCGAAAATATACTGTGTGGGCGGAAATGTTTCTATAATTTTTTAACGAAGCCTCCATCAACAAATTGGTATTCTTGATTTTCGTCTTATTGTGGCCTCTAGAATCATCCCCCATTAAAATTTTTCCCAGGGATGGCCGAACACTCTGTAAAAATACGAGTATGAATTCAAGGGCTCGTATAACAGATTCTAAAAACCTAACTTTCTCCGGGAAAGTTTTACACTGAACGTAACAACTTATAAAAGACAATACACATACATAATTTATAAGTCTATAGCCGAAAGTTGCATCGACATCAATGTCAAATCTCTCCTAATTTTTTTTTATCGGCTTCGTTTGCGTCATGGTAGTATTTATTTAATTAATGAATGTAAATAAATCAAGGGGTGCAAAGATCAAATAAAATGTATGCATTTCGATACTTTTTCAGAGCTGCCCAGATTATTTGCAATCTTAAATATTTATTTCCATTGTACCGTTTGTTTATGAGATGCCTTGAACTCACTGCGGAATAGCGTCTTCCTATTTGGCAAAAGAAGTAGGAAGCAAGTGGTAACAAATGCACTGTCAATGTTAATGTTTGCCAAACGAGTCGAACGAATAGCTAATTTTAGTTTGAACCAAACACTTCGACTGTTTTGTTCTTAGTAAAATTTTTGGATGTGCAAACATTGCAGTATGTATATAACACTTATTACTGCATTGTTACGTTATTTTAACGATAATACATTCTACTGCTTCTTTGTGGCCATTGCATATTAACTAAATCGTATATCAAAGAGTTAAGCAACCCTATTAAGACGATCATAGATCCTATTTCGGTGCCGTGACCATGACCATGGTAAAAATTTGTATTGGCTAACTTAGGGGCCACTTGTGTGCCTGCTTTCCTTTCTAACCATTTTCTTTTTTACAATATACAACATTCGTCATCAAGGAAACCACATAATGCCGAAGAAGTGACTATGAGGCTAGCTGTAGTGGCTAGCAGACACCACGTGCGATATATTATATTTAGCCGCGCCTTTGTACCGTGGTAATAGCGGACAATTTGGTGGGGATAGCATTTCACTCCCGGGAGGCAACTTTGACTAGCACTGGGTTAAAATTAATACATCGTCAGTCCCCCCACCCCCTTTCCCCAATTCAGGAAACTACACGGACGAAGCGACAATGTTCAGATTGGCACACTGTATCGAAATTGCAACCGCGAGTCGATACACGTAATATGGTTCCATCTATCTGTTTCTATTTTTTAAATCCGCAACATATTTAATGAAACAATGAATATATAATAGCAAGAGAAAATTAAAAAATCGATAAATTGATTGTACAATCGTATTCGTTTGGATTATTTATTGATCAAATAAAAAAGAATGAAAATTTCTGATGTCCTGATCGTCTACAGTTCGTTCACCGAGTCGAGTCGCCAGATGTAAACAAAATGTGCACGTGTTACGGCACGCGAGAGATGCAATGGCCACAGCTATTGACTGTAACAAATCAACACCCGCTAGTCAATTGTCAAACCCAGGGACGCCTTTGTTCCTGATATCAATTCGTGACTCGGATAACTGAATAATAATTACGACGGCTATAAGATCCTATACAGTTCTGCAAGAAACGAGAATGGGAAATTGTTAAAAAAAATTCACAAGCACACTTACTAATCTCTTACAATCGAGTAGTAATCGGTTTACTTGTTTGTTCGTGTTCAGCAAAATTCATCGTCGTTTATCCAAAAGCCGCTATCGCGGTAGGGTCTAAGTTCGGGACGTCTTCTTTGTAACAGATTTCTTTTTTTAATTTTTTTTAATTCGTGATACTTTCACAAACTCTCGAAAAAATAAAATCGCCGCGTACTACTTACCCAGATGCAAATTGGTTCGTCGAGCATGCATTCGAGTAGCTCCTTCAAATGCATTCCGAGATTCCTTGGATCGGACTCGGCATCACCGGACATGACGTTGCTCTCGATTTCGACATACGTGTGATTACTTTTCCAGGCAGGATCTTTGATAATTTGTACAGCATAAAACACCGAACAAGACAGAACGGCGAAACTGATGGCAGTGTAAACTCGCAGATTTGGGATTGGAAGTCGGTCCAAAATTTCCATCGGCATTTTCGCGCGTTTTGTTTCCTCTTGCTTCTAAAAATATATTTATATTGTTCTTTGATCTTTATCTAATTTACGAATTATTTAGAGAAGAGTCATTTAAACTGAAAAGGCTTTTTACTACATATATGTTAAACTACTTGCCCCTGTACCAATTTCATTCATTTCTTTTCATCCTCACATTCTGTGAAATACAAATTGCACATGTTATGATGATACTGTTTCTTCAATCTTTATCTAATTTACGATTTATTTAGAGAAGAGTCATTTAAACTGAAAAGGCTTTTTAATACATATATGTTAAACTACTTGCCCCTGTACCAATTTCATTCATTCCTTTTCATCCTCACATTCTGTGAAATACAAGTTGCACATGTTATGATGATACTATGACCGTTCTACCATGCATTGTAAGGAATAAATCAAGATTGTTGCATGTACCGATCGAAAGCTTTGATAGCATATAAAAACTAGCAACAGAGAGTACTCAAATTCTAAGAATTATTTTACAATTGGTTGTCACAAAATCTAAAATATTTTTAACCAAAAGCTGGATTGAAACTTGTTCATAATAACTGTTTGTTCATGTATGACCCATCTCTAAACATCTGGTCTTCTTCAAACTACATTCTTTTAATAGCCTGGAACTAACTAACACATACTATTAGAATAATAAAGTAATAGAAACAAAAGAAATGTTGTGTATGTAATCTATAGTTAATACTTTTGCGATTTAATGATTACAATATTGGTTATTTTACCCAAACATAAGTAATAGGGTGCTCTTTAAAAAAAAACCAGAATTAAACCGATCCAATTCAGCCTTTCTTTTAAAATCATTATTGTCGTTATTAACGTTATTATATACATAACAACAAAGAAAAAACAATGTGAAAGTAGTCATTGTCTGTCAGAGAATCACATTTAATTCAGTCAATGCGTCAGGTTTAGGTTAATTTTAACAGAATTTAAAACGATCATATCACCGAATATAATTAATTACGCCAAACAGGAAAAACATATTCGCGTTCGGTACAACATAATACATCGAAAAAACATAGTTTTTTAAATTCCAGCGAGTGATTCATCGTCAAATTTATCGAATAATTGATGCTCCGACAAATAACAATTTCTGGTACGTTCACGTTCTTACATGTTTTATCTTTCATTCCTTTTTCTTAATTTATCATCCTTTCTCTCCATAATCGTTTGTTCAGTCTTTTACTCTCTGATCGTACGATGTTTGATTATTGATATTAAACTTTTGTGTACTATCTGAATAGATTACATTGCACATGCCAAATAACATGTTGCAGATAGTCGAGCACACTTGATATTGCATTACTATAAAAAAATCCTTCATAGATGCGGAACAAGTGAACTCACCTGAAATCAACGACTGATGAACACGTTACCCTTAATCCATCATCGAAAAAAGAAAAGATATTTTCGAAGATGAAACTCCTGACAGCTTAAAATATATCTAACGCATATCTGCACAAAACTGAGAAGGAAGGTAAGAATACCGGACGAGAACAGACACACCGGAAGGCTATTGAAAGTAAGACTTTCTCGATCGAAATCGTCCACCATCTAACAGCATAGATACGATTCTACACGATTTTACATGACACAGGTACGACTGAGCTCATGAAATTATTGTATTTTGACAGATTCCGAGGTAGCAGACGGTTTTTCTCACTATAGTTCCTTTATGTGGAGATCCGGGATATTATTGCGACACAATATGACACAACGTATCACAACAACTGCAATGCTCGAGATCACCGAGAAGACTAAGTACACAGTCGATAAAGAAGTATCGATTGCATATGTGTCGCGGAGTGGGGAGAAACTAGTTAGGTCAGGCGTCCATAGTTGTCCATTTGTTCTACCCGCGAAATTTAAATTCCCCTTTTCTCATCGATGTGGCAAGTAGTTACTTCTTCGCTGATGTTAAAAGAATTGCAAAGAATACTTGCACTTTATTTATACAATACTTTGCAATACATTTATCTATTCCGAGTACTGTACATTTATCTTTCGAAAATGTTTATTAAACATTTTACTTATGAAAACAGTTTACCATCAGCTGATATAATCGATGTAACCATAGACCAGAGATGTCAGACGGAACCCCAGGTGCATCAGGGACTGCAAACTACTTCTGGTCTCTGCTGGCCTCTGCTGACCACTGCAAGATACATATATCAGAAGTGGTCAGCAGTGGTCAGCAGAGACCAGCAGAGAGTAGCAGTCTGTAGTAGTCAATCGTTTGAAAATTGGACCACTTTTATGGGGTTTGCCTCACTTTACGTGGTCAAGGAACAACTTTTCGAATAGTCTTGAAATTTCTACATATTCCCCACTAAAATACGCGTCGTTTGCCTTTTGAAACATTAAAATCCTCCGATCCATTCAGAAGTTATGATGTTTTAAATTGGTGGAATGTTATTGGAGTAGCAGTAATATATTCTTTTTATTATTAATTCGCACGTTATCTCTGTACGTAGTGGACTATTAATGGAAATAGTTTTTGTTTGTCTGTCATTTGTATAAAGTTATTGCACTAAAAGCTAAGTATACAAATACTTTTTTACCCAGTGCATGTTACGTAATTATGAAACAGAGAGACGCGTATCTGTTCGTGTCTTCCTGATGTATGTTTCACAAAAATTCTGGGCGAACCAGAGCGAGTCTCTGGACGATAAAGCTTCATCGTCTCGCTTCGCTCGGCATAAGATAACCTAAGGACCCTCGGTTGCGCAGTAACAAAACGAAATCTACTTGCGTCCATCTTCATCCTCTTTACCTTTTGCGAATCCATGCATGCAACGTCGTTTGTCCGTGTCTAAAAAAAATTCATAGTATCCTAAACGAAGAAAAGAGTACGGTAATATCACGTTCAACGATGGAGATGGACAATTTTTACTTATACCGTTTAATATCAGAATTGCTATTAATATAGTCTAATGTCATCGATGATACTAGATTGTACGTTTATTTAAATCTTGTTTCCTTTTTACTGGATTACTAATATTCGACTGAATTACTAAATTTACCAGGCCGTATCGATAGTTTTGCTTTATACGCATTACTGGCATGCCCCAATAACACCAAGTGGCCTTAAACTCTTATGTATCAGTATATCCGTATCTTATATAACTAACTCTCCTTAACGTTTCTGTGACAGCGATAAACATGCGCAAAATAAGTGATTTTCACGTTTCAATGTAATACATATAAGAAGCAGGCGCTCGATTTTACTGTCATATACGTTCTCGACGCTTGCATTTTCATCTCGAAATTGTACATAGTGGTGATCGGCCTTGCAAATGTAATAAATATGTTAATCACAACGTTTTACACGGAAACGATACGATTAAAGAATTGATAAAGTAGTATAACAGGTGACACTGGTGAAGCTCGTGACGATTATCGATTCCTGAGAAGTTTATTTCTCAAGAAATTGCAGAAGAAATATTGGTGGCAGAATGGTGTGATTTTATTTAAAAAAACTAAGTTAAATATATGAAATAAAATAATATTAATATCATAACGTTGATTCCTTAGATATCGTTCGTTATACAAGCGTGTTGCAGTAAATGTGTTACCACCACACGCAATAAACGTAACAAGCATATCCACGGATTCTCGATTGCAGTATCTTATCATTATGACGACTTGATAGAAACTGGTAGTCGACACCAAAAGATAATAGCATAGTAAGACAATAGATTATGACAGTGTATCGAGTGTGCACGACATCGTGTCATACAGTTATACACAAATGGGAAAGTAAATAATGGCCTGCATCGAGATCCGTTCCACCACGATAGAAATAACTATACGTACATGTTCTGCTTGAAGAATATTCAAAATAAGTTTTTTTTCTATAAAATACGTAATCTGTGGGTTTACATAACTGGACCAGTAATAGTTTAGCATTCCTTGCAAGTACTCCCACGAAAAACTTTCAGATAAGATTCGATCTTATTTCTTTCGATAAATTGATAATGTTTATGTAATGAGAAGATCCTGGTTTCGATAATGGTAACTACATTGTTTACCATGTTCGTTTATCATTACGTAATACTTATATCTACTATTTAAAATTGCCATGTATTATACAATACATACGTACGCCACTTGAAAAACGACGGTTAGTGTACTGTAAAACATTTATGACTTCTTCATTCTGCACTTGATTCTTTATTCTCGGTTTAAATTTTAAATTTTTCTAATACTGTAACTAGCTTTTCTTATCATTTCTATCAATTAGATAATCTCTGCAATCCAAACTATCGAGATATAATTAGTTGAATTTATATAGTATATAGTATTTACATTGTATACTATTATTAGGTACATTCCTTTGTTTTGAACAGTAATAGTTGCATAATGTAAGTAATATCAGTTTATGTTTAACCGTGCAGGAATCAGTGAAACTATTTTGCAACGTACTTCATACATCTTTGCAAAACATGTTGCCAGCTTTAAGGGGCTTGCAGCGCTTTGCTCGCGCTGCTCTTTTTGCCAAATGATATTTCATTATAATAAATACTAGTAAATTTAACGAAGATGAAAAATAACATTTGTTGTAATAACGTTTTCGAGAAAATAATCTTTGAAAACGTACCATGTATGCGTGCACTTAATTCCTAGATAAAGACTTACTGGATCTTAATGTGTATCTTTCTTTCTATACAATCTACTAGTTTATTAGCGCCAGATAAGATAAATATTCAATAGGATAAAATGTGTACTTGGTAAATGTTGTATTTTGTTATCCTAAAAATTGTTGGAGGCGTAGTCTTTGTTGTTGTATACGTATATGAACTCTCCATTCTAGATTATTAACAACTTCTAAGACACTCGCATTTCTACGTACAGTTTCACATTTTTTTATTGAACAAATTGCCTAGAATTATGAAAACTGGTGTCAATAAAAATAAAGTATAATGACACTGTAAAATAATCACGTTTGGTTTTGATCGATGAGGATGACGTTTATGGAATTTTATACAATCTTCACGATAAGATAAATATCCGTTTACCTGAAGTAATACAAACTCCACTTCATCCTTTATAGTAAATTACATGTAGTCTTTAATTTACTATGATGAAATTTTTGTTCTGTTACTATTAAAACATAACAATACACTCTGGTAACGCTGTCTCTGCAATTGCATTGCAAATGTTCGACGTTTAACAGGACGTGATTAATAATTTTCGTGAATAAAGGAACTTAATAGTGACAAAAATAGCAATTCGTTTTCAATGTTACGTTACGCAAGCGTATCTTCATATTGAAATTTTCTGAGTACACGCATGTCCATCTGCCTTTTTCCATTACTACGGATGAATACTAATAGTTACATCTCTTTACCAATTTGTCTTCTTATTCTTAAACTGGACACCTTCGTATTTGCTTTTTTACTTTCTGCGTTTTAGAATAAATTTACAAATCCTTTTCAAGAGCTGAATACGAACGATGCTCGTAGTTTGCCGCCTTAGAATAAACCTGCATTCAAGGCTAAATTATTAATCTTTTCGCAAGGGCTGACGAACGCGAGTAAAATAAAATCCAACGCTTCTTTATTACACAAATGTGTAATAATTAAACCAGACCTCGTTACACTTGTACTTTTTGAAAATCGAACGACGAGTAAAGAATTGTTATTTATTTTGTATTTCAATAATAATTCCTCTCGAGGTCTGTTTTTCGTGCGTGGTTGTTTAACGATGTTATCAAAACAAATTCTTGTACAGTGTCATGTCGAACTTAAAATAATGTGTTGCTGTTGGAAAACAGCTTTAAACCGGCCTGAAGCGAAAAAGAGTATGTACTCGATCTACGGTATTTTTCTTAGAGTATTATCATTTACATAATCTTCTTATCGCACTGATATGTGTCATCAACTTTCGAGATAACAGTGATTGGGAATAGAGTCAACCTTGACTCAGTCTTTATCGAAAAAGTTGCTTTCCAGGCTGAAAGTAACAATGGTTGGTAAACAAGTAATAAACCGTTGTTTACCACGGATTATTCCCCTTTGTAATGTAAAACATATTGGAGCTAGTTAATCTCGGTGCATTGAATCATCTTCTTCGGAAACAAATTTGAAAATTGCTTGGTTAACAATTTTATATACCTTGTAATCATTAATTTACTTCGTGCATGTTTTGATAAATAAGTACTTTCTATGTTTTACAAAATAATATAGTAAGTAAAAACGATAAGGGATTTGGGTATGCTATACGATTGTGGAATCATATTCCGTTCTAAACAGATATGATAAGTATAATTTAATTCCCAAATGTAACATTTCACAATATTAATATAATATTTATAATGCAGTGGTTTCATAATTCGATAAAAGTGTTGAGTTTCGATGGAAATCGATACGACGATAAATAGATAGACTTTATAGTAACAAATATGTACTAATCGTAAGTTTAAACTATGTCTCCGAGATCTATCGCTTTTCTTATTCAAGTATTATTGATGATTACGTGTCTAGAACGCGATCAATTATTTGTAATCTAAACAGATATGTATCGACTAATAATTGATAAACCTTATCACTGTGTGTTATCGTTGGTTTTAAGAAATTGAAATAAAAAATAACGATGCAATGCGGTAGGTGTATTAATTAAACTTTCTATGAGATCAAATTAATCTCTAGCAGATACTTGTCGGCACCTCCTATTTAAGATAAAGATTCACAAGTAAATACTACTGTTTAAACATTTAACTACATGCACAGCACTCGATATGAAAACACGTCGAGTGTGATATTACAATTATATTGTGATAATAATTCACGGTTTCGCTTTCGAAAGATTTGTCCGATCGCTGGAATATTTAGTTAGAAATGTAGGTCAATATCACAGATCGAAAGTAAAATATATTTTTATCGTGTAATTGAAGTTAATTTTAATTTTCCATTCGATGGACGTATAAAAATAGTCACGTTGCTTATTATTCCTAAGATTAAAGGTGCAAGCAAGTTTATTTAGGCGCTATGTTGGAAAACGTTCGGACAATCGATAGGATGGACATTCTACGGGGTTATCGACTAACTGACCCCTTCCTTTATAAACTTTATTACAAGCAACCTTCAGTTTGCCATGCGGTTGAAACGTGTTTTGATTTGTCAATTGGAAGCTTTCCTTGCTCTTTTTCTGAGTGCACGTGTTACTTTCTCGTCCCGCGGATCCAACGAAAATTCAATGAATTTTTAGGAAATGAAACTGAAAACATTGAAAATTGAACCATTTACATATTTCTAATGTTTCAAAATTTAATAATCTGAGCCAAATAGTCGAGAATAAAATTTTGTCTAAATATTAAAGTTGGACAATTTTTGCCACGCAGAGTCACTGTTTAGCCCATTGTAGTTTGCATAAATTTATTGTAAAAAGCGAATGCGTTAATACTACTTTGCCCAGTGTATGTGTAGAGCGCGTTGCGCGTGTAACATAACTGCCCAACCCCCACCATTCACCATGTATGTACAGTGGCAATCATGGGAAGTGGAGGTTTTGATGTCCAGTCGTTCAGCGACCTCCGCGCGCGATGGTTGAATAATTTGTTAATTTTATCGTTCGCCAACGGTCGACTGTGCAGTGATAGAAGTATGACAACCACGTGAAGGCATTGTCTATGCCTCTGTTACTCCTATGCACACGCGAAACATCGTTGAACGCCGAGTTGTACTGTGAGCGAATTAAGTACAACGACAGACACCGAGATGCGATTCGACGATCAACTTTTCGAGGTTCTCGGTAAGTTTTACTCGATCATTATTATTACTATTCATTATCACACTTGATTCATACCGACGATTACTCTTTACAGTCTATACAGTTCACTTAAACAAACTATAAAATACAAAGTACTTCGAAGTTAAAGCTTAATCAAACTTTGAACATTATAGATGTTTTAAACTTGGAGTATAATAAAGCTCCTTGAATTTTAATTTGAACAATGAATTATAAGATTATCTCTGAAGCTTGTATTAGAACTGAACGAAATTGTGCATCTTAAAGTGCTTAGAATTTAACATTTTCTCTTGCATCTTTTGGCAATATTTTTCTGAATTAGCTCGACTTCTGCCAAATAAATTTCATATTCTAAAATAATCTAATCAACACCTATACTCATAAAAGAATTCGACGTCGTGTTTTATAACTTTAGATATAAAAATTTAAAATCGTAAACCTTTCTGCAAGTGAATCTTATGGTTTCGACGACGATTCCTTGATTCAGGGTTCGAGTAATTTTTAATCTGAGAATAAACTAATATTAATGTTTCTGTTTAAATTGTCGCGTCAATTAATTTAGTACGAAGTAATTTGAAGGAGTTAATTAAAGCTAATTTGCTGACACTATCTGCGCGTGTTTTGTAAGAACCGTGATTAAACACGTTCGTTCGGTAGTAAATAACAGTTTCCTGAAAACGCGACAGCAATGTTATTACGAATTTTATTCATTCTAGAAGCGATGTTAAAACAATTTCGTGGAAAAAAATTGTAGCAATAATCACACGTAATATTTTGATATATACAGTTCTGTGGAAGTCTGTTTTTAAGAACTTTGTTTATTCTTCATAGCGGTTTGAGAAACGTGCCTAACAGTATAAATGATCCGTGATTCAGTATCAAAATAAACTCGAGAAGTAACAATTTCAATTGGATCCTGAACAATTCTATGTGAAGTATTTACTCTTGTTGGTGCGATGCATGCAACACATGCAATTATTTTGACAGTTGCTGGTTACTAATTGATAAATCTGAACATTTTCTTTTAACTTTGATTAGTAGTAAGTGGTATGATTTTAAAGTCTCTGACAAGTCAGGTAGAAAAATATTAATTATATCTTTCGATCTAAGTTGAGGAGGCTATGTTTAGGAAGGGAACTAAAAATCGAGTGATTTTAGATGATTTGAATCGAGCTTTTTCTTTTCGGTTAGATCAAAGTTAGGCAACGCTAAAGTTCTACAATACATTCTGTATGCTCGGTGTGTTACTAATTGTGTGTCAGTAGAAGAATGTTTCAGTATTTTGAGAGGCAGATTTACAATGAAATTCTTATTCGAAGTGTAATTATCGTCCTGTCAGTAGATAGTCTGCCAGCACATAATGTGATTCATTTACGGCTGTCTCCCTCTTTCTTTGCATGTGTTTTTGTGTGTGTTGTGTGCACGCGTGTCTCTCGTTGTCTGAGCAGAAACGGCTTCGTTCCTTTCTGTTTATCGCAAACTGACTCATTAGCTAGTTACTGGCTTTGTTACAGTTTTCTTATCCCCTCCCATCTCGGTTTTCCTCCACTATTTGCTGTGGACGGCGTCCCTTAAATGGAAATATACCTTGTTCCAGTGTGCCATAAAATTAATTAAAATCCTTTGTCGACGACTGACGAATCTGGAAAGAATTCCAGAAGACTGTATTTCTTTTCTTAATCGAATATCATTGTAGTATATAAAAATTAACCAGGAAGATCCAATCACGGAAAGTTTTCACGACTCCGCCGGGACTCCGAGAATTGCTAAACGAAGAAATAAAAAGCTGATAGCAACGAAACGAGAATAATATCCCTCGAATTGAACGAGAATTGCATAGTCACCGTGTGCTCGTACTTCAATTAATAATATCACAATTTTATTTACTTTAATTTAAAAGTATATATCAAGAGTAATCGAATCGATTATCTTGTAAATAGATCTTATTACCAGATTGGATTTGAATTTTTTTATCACAAGCAATCCCTCTGGGTATACAAACTTTTTATTAAAAATAATTCATTTGCATTCTAATATTTTTAAAAATGTATATAATAACCTGTAAATGTTATTGTGGGCTAACTACGATGGAAAATAATTTACTTATGTCTTCTTTGGTTGTTAGTATATTACTGATGTATTTATTATATGGATCGTAGAATGTAAACAAACGTTTAATCACGTTTTGCGCTTCGTATTTATCTGTGTCCGACCAAAGTACGGCTTTATAATATTCAGACATCGAAAATGAGTTATGCAAAAGCAGAGAAAGTTGATATGGTTTTCGTTTATGGCGAATGCCACTAAATTTCTATACCGAATCATTCCCTCTGCAATACCAATCACTCTTCAAAGTTAATATAAATAACAAAATACGACCCAAGATCACCATTTTAAACCATTATAACAGAAATTTTATTTTTACGTAGAAAGAAGTAAATTATTCCAGCGTTTTTACGCTCAACTTTTCCTCTCTGAAGATACTATCGTGGATATTTTATTGTGGTCGTTCGATCCAGCCGCTCTAATAGCCAAATGAAGCGAAAGAAATCATCTAACGAGTTTCGCCTCGAGTTAAATTTGATATTCGAAAGCGTGTAAAGCACGCCATTGCGATAAAATATTCTGATAAACGTCAACATACTTCAAGACATGACTTTGCGTTATTACGTGCAGTTGTTCGTTTCTATGCATATAAAGTGTCAAACACATACATATTACGAATTCTAAAAAATTGTTTACGACTTTTATACGCCTGTATGAGGCGCTTATCGGTAACAATTACCACCACACTTGCAATCTTATGCGACAATTTGCTGCAACAGAATTGCACGTAAAGCTAGTCAAGCTTTCGTCGATGTGTGACACCTTTAAAAATTTAGGTACAAATAAGAGTCAATGGTCAGATAACGTAACGATTTTGTTCAGCAATTAACTAATACGTTCTACGAAAATACTTATTAAACGCGACCGTAGGATTTCTGTGTGCAGCACGTGTTCAGTTCTTTCTACTTTCCATGGTTTTTACGAACATTTAGTTAATTCTTTTTTTAATTAGACAAGCCAATTGTTAGATAAACGAATAAATATTTATTTCTTGTGTATGGTACTTTTAACTAAAGTTACATTGTTGACAGTAACATTCTGAATAGCATGATGGAAACATGTTCCACTCAAGTTGTTCGAGAGTTGACAAGAAAATTATGTGCATAATACGACTGCAGTACAACATCACGACATGGGTTTGTCGAAAATGTTAGTATTAAACAAGCCTTTCATATATCATGCTCTACTGTTTTAACTTTATGGATCCTATATATTTTGGAAGTTCTAGGGATACAATTATATAAATTTCACTCCGAGAAAATAAGTGAAACGATAGTTGTTTGACTGAAATCATGGACAAAACTCACGTTCTATATTTAAATATATTACTCGTACGAAAGTTTTTTCTTTAAAGCGCAATTTTTAGTCTTTCGATATGGTTGGTTTGTGCTTAACTATTTCTACAGTTATTTGCATGTGAAAAGACACCTGTTGGCTATGCATAAAACCAAGGCAGAAACAGTATTAAGCAATGTGGCACACGAGTAAACGAGGTAAACCCTTGTAACGATTATTTTTGACTTGAAAAAAAACTTTCACCTGGATTTTTTCAAACGAAAAGCCTAATTTTGGTGCACTTTGAGTCGAGAAATGGTTCCAGGCGCGTGCGGAACCGTCGAATCTTAAATACTGCCGAAAGAGTTAAGTATTTATTTTCGCGCGTTTCATCCCCACCCTTTGTTTTCTTGGACACATTAGCGACTCCCCCACCCCACTGTTAATCTCCTCGCGTATGGACTCGAATCATCCCCACTCCTTCCACACGAGCCGAGCGCAAAACGCGTCAGCTGCTCGCCAGTCGTCTCCGCGACGTTGCTATGAAGATATTAATTTTTTTTTTCTTTTTTTATTTTCTTAACGTTTACTGTAATTTCGGCACGCGATCGCGTCTGCATGTGCGTCTCCCTCCCCCCGCCCCACGGTTCCTCCACGCTGTGTGCTTCGTGATCCACGAAACGGTTTCGTCGACGTTCCGACTAATTACGCAATTAATGCATCGCCGGTCTATCGCAACGTGATTTTCCGAAGCGTCGTCTCGATGATAATAACCATAATGGAGGTTACCTGCGCGGAGTTGTTTTTAAGAACGATGCGAAGGAGCGTACGGACGATCCAAGATCCTGACGCCTGATCCAGAGCTCTCTATTTCCCGTAGTTGTTTTCGAAATGGGACTGGCAGGTAAATTATTGAAACAAGTAAGAGATGTTCCGATAAACACGCAGACGGGCATATTTAATAATCATTTTTTTTTTTTTCACCGTGTATCGCTGATAAGCGTTCCTCTCGTTTCACGTAACTTTTTTTTTTTTTATTAATACGAGACAAGTTAAGTTGCCAATTTTCTCTTTTAAATTATGTAAGATTTTTTTGTCGATTTCGAGAGCGAAGTAGATATGGATTGTTTATACAGACAGACGTGACTTTCCACTTTTTTTTTTTTAGCTTCCGCGTATCTTCTGTTCTCCCCTCCCTCCCCTCCTCCCCCACCTTCCAGCCACCGCCATCTTCCACCCCTGATAGGTATTTATCCAGCAATAGCTCGAATAATAGGAGCGTTCGGCGATGATTTTCAAAATGGATTTAAACAATAATCTTTTACGTGTTAATTTCCAGTTTATTTTTCTCAAACCGTACCGCTATCGGAATTGATAAATGAGTCTGCTTATCTCCGGAATTAGACGCGTTTGCGTTCTGAAACGAGGTGATTTGCGAGAAGTGTCTTTACTCCTAGCATTTCAACAATTTATATTCTTTATATAAAAAGTTTTATATGTATAGGTTACGTTTACATACACATAGCCATATGCAATATTTTGTCATTATCTTTTCTTCGTATTCCATAACTTATATTGTATAAAATTCCATAGAAACACAGGCGTATTATCGTTATTGTTAT